CCTCTCCCTCCCCCCTCTCCCTCCCCCCTCTCTCCCCCCCTCTCTCCCTTCCTTCCCTCTCTTACTCCCTCTCTCCCTCCCTTCCTCTCCCTCCCTCTCTCCCCCTCCCTCCCTTTCTCCCTCTCTTTCTCCCTCTCCCTCCTGCTCACTCTTTCTTCGTCAATATTTTATGAAGTGTCATCATATTTCTTCCCATAGCTAATGAACAAAGCTAATAGAGTGTTTACTTTGGTAATAACTGGAAATGTTCATGATTACATTTGGCTTGTAATCGTTTGAGTAAGCCTCAGAATAGAGCTTTCAAGTACCACTTTATAAATGAAGGCATTATTTAAGAAAAAAAGGCAATTGCATTCTGGATGGATTGCTGGTAACTTGTATTGGTATAAGCTTTGTGGATTATTTAATTAGCAGTCATCAATCTCTCTGTAGGTGTAGTTTATCAAACAAATGCAGTTTCTCTGGACGCATCATATTTGTTATCATTTAGATTCAAAATGGGAGGGGTTTTGTTTGTTATTTTTTGGACAGGTGGAGCCCTCAGTATGTGATCCATCTAACTTCCATGTTCAGGTAAGGTCCTAATCATTTCCTTTTTGTTGTTGTTGTCTGTCTCTGACGTAGGGATCAATTACAGGGTGCACAGAGGTCTTCAATAACAGTCTATGCTTGGACTTCAAAAGGTGTTTTAGGTTTCCCTTATGTTCCTTAAGAGGGAAAGATTCCAAAGGAAAGCATTCATGCTTGAATCGTTTTGGAAAGATCCAGGTGCTAAGGAATGCTTTTATAACCTTTCCTGAATTAGCTGATGAAACTGAAAAGAGCTTAGAAAGATTATTTAAAGTGTTCAAAGTTCAGAATTTTTTTATGGTCCAAATCCAGTCATATTCCGAGAGGAGCTTGTCTAGACTAGTAACTTTGTCAGCTTTCTTTAAATGAAAAAAATGGTTGTGAGGAAAGAATATTAGACACATCTGACCTGGATTAGTTTAGAACACCAAGATAGGATCAAAACATCTGTATTCAAATCCTGAGCTAGCTATAAGTTGACTTGTTGATATTATCTTTCATTGGCTGGATCCATGTATTGTGTTAATTGATAGCTTTGTTTTAAGTTTAGTTTATGACTAAACCACAACGGTCCATTGTTTAAGTCATGGTTTGCAATCCAGAATACCTCAATTTATAAAATGTAGTGAGCCAAAAATCAAACAAAATTACGATGTGTAATGTGTGCCACAGAGAATTGTTATAGAGTTGGGCAGTCTCACAAAACTGGTAAAATAAATTAACCTAATCTTCATTATGCCTCGAGCAATTTCAATCAAACGTGGTACACAGATGACTTACTCTCTGGAAACAAATACTGTGGGGGTAAGGTACCCCTAACACCCCTCGGTCTGTGTGTCCGTGTGTGTGTGTTCCAGCATAACTCCGGAACGCCTGGGCCGCTGAATTGAAAAGGATTGAATTATATCTATAGTGTCAAGTCACAGTACTTTTGACAGTGATAGTGTGCATTTTGGGTTCAAGTTCTGTTAAGGTACAGCCTGTTGTGCCTTAATATGGATTCTACTGTACAGCACAGTGGAGTTGCTATGGTACTCCACAAGGGGGCTCCTTCTAATACAGGATTGGGATAAATACAAACCTGGGCTACGCCGGGCTATCTGTTAGTAATATATATATATAAACAAATGTATGTGTTACTTTGCTTCTTCTGATGTAAATGCGGTGCTTGTTTTCTGAAAAGACACCTATCTGTCTTTTGTTTCACTATGCAGGGATGTTCCATTGAGTAAAGAAGAACTGCAATTTGTGGTAGAAAAGATCTTAAGAATGTTCTCTAAGTTAGATCTCCAGGAAATCCCACCTTTGGTGTATCAGCTGTTGCTACTTTCTTCAAAGGTAATGCTTTCGGGAAAATTGCCTTCCCAAATTTTCTAATATCATAGTTTCAGAGGAATCATCCCATTTACCCAGAGACTTGGCAATATGAGTCATGTAACACAGTTATCTCGTAACTTCTCAGGGTAGCAAGAAAAACGTTTTGGAAGGGATTGTCAACTTTTTCAACCAGATGGATAAGAAGCAAAAAGAAGAGCAAAGAGATTCAGAGTAAGTTGTTTTTCTCACGTTCTTGATTTGAAGCTGTGATATCCGTTGCCCTTTGTTGAAGCAGACATATTGCCTTTGCTTCTTATCACAACCAAAATTCAATCTTCCAGGTCCCTGGAACTTGAAGAAGCTACAGTGCCCTTAGAACAACTCCGCCACGTGGAAGGCACCATCATTCTGCACGTTGTACTAGCGATAAACCTGGACCATGATCTAGGAAAGGAGCTAATAAAATACTTAAAGGTATATTAAATGCAGAGTTCAGGAGACTCTTCTGACCCAGGCTTCCTTAGAAGAAAGCAAGAAGCGGAGTCTTGGTCCTGGAAAACCCCTTTATTTACACGACTGAATTCCTTTCATTCACAGTCCGCAAGGCTTAGCAAACAGTCTTTCAGAGGAATATTTATCAACACGAACCTTATCTCGCCTGGAGAGCTGCCAAATAACTAGTTTCCAAACACAGGGCNTTTATAAAATTTATAAAGCAGAGTTACAGCAAACCCCTACCGCCCACCCTGAAAGCTGGAACACCCACTAGTAGGCAGTAGGGACCAGGTTGACTACCACTGATATAGATGTCTGCAACTGAATAATTTCTTATTGTCCAGGATTGCTTTTTCTTTCTTGTGTTTTTAGGGCATCTCTCACAGTTTGTTTGTTTTTAAAGCAACTTTCTCTAAGCTGGCAGCGTCCAGATGCCTGGGCTACATCCTAGAATCCTTGCCGATCTTCATGTTGGCAGGGGAAATTTCCAAAATTTCCACCTAATTGAATGGTATTGAAGATGGGAAGGGCTGCAATTAGGATGGCGTGGCATGCATAACTGCATTTTTTTTTATCATGTTCCCTTATAGTGTCTACGTTTGGGCTAGTTAGGCTGAGATGCCCCCTCAGCTTCTTAATAGCTGACATGATATACGAAATGTATACAATAATTCTTCTTACTTTGGGAGATGATATTTCAGGTTGTGAGTGGAGGAGGTACTTCCTTGACACTTTTATAGTTGCTATAATGTAATTCAGAGCTCTGTTTGGTCTGAAACCTCTTAATATATAATCAGGTTTTTAAAAATAATAATAATATATATTTTAATACATCAGGCTCATAAGCTGCCCGGGCTTACTTTGGCTGACTTGGCGATGTTGTTCATCGAAGCAATTAAAGGAGGCAGCCTGTTGAGTGGCAAGTCTTTGGAACTCTTCCCTACGATTCTTACTGTGCTGGCTACCTCTAAGGAGACGCTTGAATATGGGACAGGTAAGCTCTTCCCTCTTCAGCTTTCCCACCTTGACGTCTTTTGCTAATTAGCAACATGTAACCTATTCCCCCTTTCAGGTGAGCTGACGGGGGACGAATATAAGAAACAGCTGATTAATACCCTCTGTTCCAGCAGGTAAGTTTGTGCTTGCCAGGCCAGGTGCCATTTGGTGGCATCTGTTCTGGTGGTCAATCTGATGTAAAGTGTTTATCGGCATAATTTGCATAGGCAAATGTGAAACTATCCATCTCTCTCCCTCCCTCACTCTCCCCCCTCTCTCTCCTCTTTCCCTCTCTCTCTCCCTCTCTCCTCTCTCTCTACCTCCCTCCCCCAATCTCTCCTCTTTTCCTCTCTCTCTCTCCCTCTCTCCTCTCTCTCTCCCTTTCTCTCCCTCCCTCTCTCTCTCCCCTTTCCCTCTCTCTCTCTCCAGAGCTGTCACCTGAAAGGAATAGTATGGACANACCATGAATGCAGGATAGAAATGTATAGAAGGGAAAACACTAACTGTAAAGAAACCGATACGGAACTGCTGTAGAATATATGATGGAACTTCTTGTTCCTATGTTGTCTTAAGTCATGTGTTTGTTTTTGTTGATGTGTTTATGTGTTTAAAATAAAAATTTATTAATAAATAAATAAATAAAATGCAAATAAATAAATAAATAAAATGGCACTGGTCCCAGCATGATTCACTCGCTCTCCTGCAGATTCTGATCTGCAGCACAAATGCATATACTGGAAGGGGAGGTGTTTGAGGAATGATAGACACAGCTAATTATAGATAACTAACCCTTGGATTAAAATTACCCAGTATTCCAAAGGTCTACAAAACATTTAAAATATTGTCCTCCATGCTGATATTGGTTGGGAGTATTGAAGAACAGAAGGGAATGGTGGCAGGTTTGAGCAATTCCAGAAATGGCTACAGCAGTGATGACAAACCTTTTCAGCACCGAGAGCCCAAACCGGAACACACAGAGGGCCGGAAACCCGAAGACCAGCTGGCCAGTCCCCGCATGCCTGTTTTTGGGTTGTTTTTTGGGGTGTTTTCCAGGCATTTTTCCAGCCGTTTTTTGTCCGGAAAAGTGGCTTTAAAAATGTCCTTAAAAACAGCCCTGAAAATGGCCCAAAAAACAGCATGAAAATAGTCTGAAAAACAGCCTCTTTTGGCCATTTTTCGGGCCATTTTCTGGCACTTGTGAAGACCAGCTGGTGCCTGTGATGACCACATGTGTACCGGAAAGCAGAAGGGTAGCTGGCGATGGTGTGCGTGTCCCCTCTGACGCGTGTGCCACAGGTCACGGGGCTACAGAGTCCCTGGGCACCAAGCAGCACCTAATGTATTAGTAGTATTTTTTAGTTTCTTCATCAGCTCTTACTCCAGTTGAAAAACGATTTCCCATTTAACAAGTATCATCAAGTTAGGCTGATAGAATGGTGCGGTGGCCTAGAGGTGGAGCTCTTGCCTCGCAATCAGGGGGCTGTGAGTTCGATCCTAGGTAGAGGCAGAATGTTTCTCTCTCTGGGCACCCTGAGAATATATATCTGCTGGGGGAGGGGGAAACCCTCCGCATTGGCGACAGGAAGGGCATCCGGCCATTGAAACATTCTGCTTGCTCCATTCAGTTGCCCAGACACCACCCTGCAAGGGATTACAGGGTTGTTAAATGAAGAAAATGATCAAGTTAGGCTGATTTTGTAAGCTTACAGAACAAAGTGTTACTGTGTCCAGCGGGGTTTGGTATGTACAGGACTCTCCCCATAGAACAGGAATACAGCAGTTAATTTGGTGACTGTTGGAAGTTACCTTGGCACTGAAAAAAAATGACTTATGACCGTTTTTCACACTTGCGCTATATGGTTCCATGATCAAAATTCAGACATTTGACACATGCCGTATTTTTTAGACTATAAGACACACAGGTGTATAAGACGCACCAAGATTTCGAAGAGGTAAGTAAGAAAAAAACATTTTTGTCCTCCCCAGCCTCTGCAGACTTCAGCAGGGCTGGAGGAAGGCAAAAACGCCACCGTTTCCCACCAAAATGGGGGCATTTTTCCCTTTCCCCCAGCCCTGCCGAAGCCTGCAGAGTGCATCTGGGGGGTGGGGGAAGGCAAAAACACCCCCGATTTGGTGAAAAACGGCCCGTTTTCCTCCCATTTTTCATAACAATGGGATGCAGGGGCGGGGCTTCGGGAAGCCAAAAATGGCTGTATTCGGTGTATAAGACGCATCAACATTTCCATAATCTTTTGGGGTGGGAGGTGCGTCTTATGCTCAGAAAAATATGGTATACGTGGACGGTTGTAGTGGCCCCTTCTGAGAATAAACTCAATGGGGAAGCCAGATTTACGCAACTACAGTTTGACTAATTTAACGATTGCAGTGATTCACTTAACAACCGTGGCAAGAAAGGATGTAAAAGGAGGCAAAGTTCACTTAACACCTGTTTTAACAACAGAAATGTTGGGCTCATTTGCAGTTATAAGCCGAGGAACTCCATGACTGCTCCTTCCTTCCAGGTTCAGGTAGATGTCCATGCCCGCTATAATGCGGCAGCCAATGAGGCCTTCTGCTTAGAGATCCTAGGCAGCCTGAGACGATGCCTGAGCCAGCAGGCTGATGTCAGACTCACCCTCTACGAGGTAAGAAGAGCTCCCTTTGGCATTCAACTTAGTTCCCTAACATCCCCACATTTCTAGCTGTGTCTCGAGTAAACTTACGACTTGCAGAATACGGAATAACAGACTTGGAAGGGACCTTGGAGGCCTTCTAGTCCAACCCCTGGGTTGAGCAGGAGACCTTGAACATTTCAGACAAATGATCTGATCCAATCTCTTCTTGAAAGCCTCTAAGGATGGAAGGGACCTGGGGGGGTCTTCTAGTCCAACCCCTGGGTTAAGCAGGAAGTCCTATACCATTTCAGACAAAAGATTGTCCAATCTCTTCCTAAAAACCTCCACTATTAGAGCACCCACAATTTCTGGTGGCGAGCAGTTCCATTGGCTAATCGCTCCCACGGTTAAGAAAGTTCTAGGTTGCTTCTCTCCTTAGTGAGTTTCCATCCATTGCTTCTTGTCCTGCCTTCAAGTTCTTTAGAGAATAGTTTGGCCCTTCTCTTCTTTGTGGATTGTGGGTGGGGCTAGAATTTCTGCTTCTCCCATTCTTTTCTGATCAATTTCAAGCTCACTTTAAAAACAAAGAAACAAAACTTTCATTTGTCTTTCCAGGGTTTCTATGATGTCCTGCGCAGAAATTCTCAATTGAGCCATTCCATTCTGGACATGCTTCTCTCGCAGGTACAGGAATGACTAAAGATTAGAAGCTGGATTTAAGGGAAATGCTGACCAGAATTTGGGGGTTGGTCACTCTTTTGAGTCTTGTCTACCCTTGGTTTGGATTGTCTTTCTGCTTTTGAAGAGGAAGCCCAAAACCTAGTTGATTCGACGAGGCAAAATGGCCACCTGTTTGTGCCTCAAAATAGGAATGAAGAAAAAGGATTTGCCATGTAGATGGGGAAGAGAAAGAAATATGGATCTAAGTCATCAGAGTAATATTATGAACAGTTATAGCAAAAGCACTTGTGGGACGCAGTGACTCAATGGCTGAGCTTGTCGATCAGAAAGGTCGGCAGTTTGGCAGTTCGAATCCCTAGCGCCGCGTAACAGAGTGAGCTCCTGTTAGTTGTCCCAGCTTTGGCTAACCTAGCCGTTCAAAAGCATGTAAAATGCAAGTAGAAAAATAGGAATCACCTTTGGTGGGAAGGGAACAGCATTTTGTGCGTGTTTAGTCATGCCGGCCACATGACCATGGAGACGTCTTCGGACAGCGCTGGCTCTTCGGCTTTGAAACGTTGATGAGCACCGCCCCTTAGAGTCAGGAACGACTAGCACATATGTGCGAAGGGAACCTTTACTTTTACCTAAGCATTTTACAGAGTCAGCGTATTTATAGCTACTCAAGTGAATATTTGTGGAGATTCTCAGTCATCCAGATCATGTTACTCCAAAGGTGCTTTTTTCCCCTGTAAAAGGCATTTTCTTTGAAAATGTTTTGGTTCTCATCCAAGAAGCTTCTTCAGTTTTTCAGAAAATATAGAAGTTCCTTGGATGAGAAGCGAAATGTTTTCGAAGAGAAAAAAACCCAAGAAAGTCCAATTGCCTTTTGGAAGAGCGAATCTGGGACACTCAAGTGAGCAGTTGTGTTCTGAAATGCATTATCATTCCTAGGCAAGTAGCGAAGGAGATTTATCTACCTTGGAGTCCACTGAAGGAAATAAAAGTCTATTTATTCGTGGAAGGAAGTGATGATTTTGACAGAAGAATAGAACAGAACAGAATAAAATAGAATAGAATAGAATTCTTTATTGGCCAAGTGTGATTGGACANGGGAAGGGGGATACAAACAAAAATTTAAAAAAACAAACATAACAATATATAATTTAAAACTCACAACAGTCATACCATTCTTAGTCCCGTATTTGTTTTGTATATAATAGATCCATTTTTTCCAGTCTCGTTTATATCTCTCATTTGAGTGATCTTTAAGATATGCAGATATTTTAGCCATCTCGGCTAAATTTGTGACTTTCGATGTCCATTCTTGAACAGAATAGAATTTCCTCTTGTTAATCCCCCACGTAAACCATGAAGCTTTGTAACCAACAAATTTACTATAAGAATTTTTTAAAAAGTACAGATGTAGAATTCCTTTATTGTGTTGCGTTCTCTCTATCTCTCTTTCCTATGTGCCACCCAGCGTGTTTGGCTGGGATCATGTGACTCAGGGTCTAGTAGAACTTGGATTTATCCTGATGGACTCTTATGGGCCAAAAAGACCTTTTGGAGGTAAAGCCACGGAAACTAACCATATTCTGCCCAAAACCCCAGCCCAGCAAGTGTGTAAATTGGGAGCTGATATCCTCTTGGAAACTTTCAAGGTAATCTAAAAATGGAATTGTAGAATGCTGTAGATATAATATTAAGAAGATTTTTTCTTCTTCTGTTGATATAAGATTTCTTCAAATTCTTATGATATTTAGAAATATTTCTAGACTATGTTTAAAGGCAAAACTCAAGCTGTTTTGATAACTTTTTCCTTCTCAAATTAAAATAAATGTAATTCTTTTTCTTAACCCTGCTTCTTAATATCTGTGGGAAACAGGAAACAACAGAAGCACCCCCTTGCATAAAATTTAGTTCAAGGCAAATTTGTTATTGGAGTGGGCTAAGGCCACCAAATGCAGCTTGTTTTGGCTTTTAAATGTGAAGCCTGTCAGAATATTCATGAACTGGAATAGGGCATAGCAGCAGGTCAGCCATTGGGGACTGGCTGGAATAGTACATGGTAACAAGGTCAGCCATTGTATAGGCATGGCAACTGGATCAGCCAATGGGAACTATTTGGTGACTGAGAGTCATGCCAGACGGCTCAGAGTCTGCACATGGCTTACCTATGATGCTCTGTGCAAGAGAACTACTGTATTTTTCAGAGTATAAGGCGCACCTTTTCTTCCTTAAAAGAGGGTGAAAATTTGGGTGCATCTTGTACACTGAATGTAGCCCCACACTTTGGCCTCTGCCTCCCAGCAATTTACCTCCTTGCAGCAAACGGGGAAAATGGGGCTTGCGGAGGCTGCAATAGGCTATAGCAATTCCTGCAGGCTGAAACAGCTGATGATCGGGAGGCCCACTGAAATTGAAAGTGAAACTTGCTGTTAGCTCCAGGAGGCAAATTGCTGGGAGGCAGAAGCAAAAAAAAAATTATTGTGCTAATCAGGCTGTTTGTTGCAAGGAGATAGGTCAATATCTATAAATGCCTATAGAATGTTCAAATTATTAGACTTATTTTTTTAAAGACTCTTTTATTATTGTTCTAGACAGCTTAACAAAATGAAGAAGCTTTTTAAAATAAATGCTTGATCTGAACAGGCCCAGTGCTATTGTATCTCCTTTTAAATAGCAGAGCATAACTATATGTCTAGAAAACACATCAATTTTGACAGCATCTGTACAAGTATAGTCTGAAATGTAATATATACACTACAAACAGTGTATATTGTCTGAACTGTTTGCTGTTTGTTGCAAGGAGGCAAATTGCTGGGAGGCAGAGGAAGATATTTTCCCCTTGTTTTCCTCCTCAAAAGCTAGGGGCGTCTTGTACTTCAGAGCATCTTATACTCCGAAAAATATGGTAATCTAGTCTGCTCTCTGAATTGAAACTGGAAGCCAATCTCTTCTCTCTACCAGGTTGGAAGAATCTGCTGTTGGCATTGTACATTTATTCATGTGTTATGTATGTATATAAAGAAGTTAATGAGTCCTGCTGAATCAGTTATCTGAGTGTGCTTTCTGGATTTGATTTTCTGCGACAAACTCTGACAGAGCCAGCTTTCATTCATAAATATTATTTAAATAATTAAAACAGGAGGAAGGTAATCTACCTAATATATCACAAGGAAATCTAGAACTGAAGGCACCACCACCACAGAGAAGTCCTCTTTTTCACAAACGCATCAAAGCGCCTATAGATGCATTTTCTGTGCTGGATCAGTGAATTGGGGAGTAAACATCTTTGGGGCTGCCTGGTAAAGCAATCAACCGATGTTGCATAGCTTCAAAGGCTTTAAAGTATTTTCTCTTGAAACTAGATGGAGAAACTTTGCATTTTTAAAATACCCTGTTTTCCAGGTCCACGAACCGATCAGAAGTGAAATTCTAGAGCAGATCCTGAACAGAGTGATCACAAATGCAGGCGTTCCCATCGCCCACTTCATAGGTAACTTTGCCACGTGGAATTCAAGCTCACAAAATAGACTGCAAGCTTCCAGTACGCCATCATCATCCTCTTTTAACTACTCCATAATCCCTTGTGGGGTGGAGTCTGGGCAACTGAATAGAACTAGCAGAGTGTTTTAATGGCCGGACGCCCTTCCTGTCACCAGTGCAGAGTTTTTTTTCAGCAGATGTATTCTCACTGTGCCCAGAGAGAGAAATATCTGCCTCTACCTAGGATTGAACTCATAGTCTCCACCTCTAGGCCTCTAGGACACTATCTCAAGAAAAATTCATCAGCCAGGAATTTCCCCAGGCTCCTGACTTCAAAAAGCAAATGATAGTTGGGAAAGAGTAGTTCTACACTGCATGAAACCATAATGGCTTACCCAGCAAGCCATGATGATGTAAAGAATTCCTCTGCATCATATATGAACTCAAGAAATTGAGTTCATATATGAACTCAAGAAGTTACTCATTTCAAAATTATTATTATTAGCTGATTTTCAGCAAGGCCAAATAGGATATGTACCCACGTTTTCTGATCCTCATAGGACATATTAAAAGGGCCTGTTAACCTTTTAATGTAGCAAAACAAGTTGACTGTCTCACCTGTTTGGGGGTTGAGGAAAAGTAGTGAATAAAACTTTTCCTTTAATCTATGAACTTGAACTGAATAGAATACTTTCTTTGGCCAAAATACACAAGGAATTTGTCTCCAGTGCAGAAGCACTTGGTATACAGGCAAAGCAACAAAGAGAATAATACTCCATAATAGGAAGAAAGATAAAGAAGATAATAAAAATGAAATAATACTGCAACCACATTATGTGGATTAAAATACATGGGTGTTAGACAGAACTGCAAATAAATGTGTATCTGCCTTCCTTTTTGAAATAGAATAGAATAGAAAAACAGTTGGAAGGGGCCTTGAAGGTCTTCTAGTCCAACCCCCTGCTTAAAAAGATGTGCTTATTCAGAGCATCCTGTCCTTTTCCCTAGCAGATGCCACAGCTTTGAATGTTCTCTCCTCCTCTCTTTGCAGACTTATTGTCCAGCATAATTCTATCTGCTCCTCTGGTCCTCCAGAATTCTTCCTCTAATGTTACAGAAGCTTTTGAGCATTTGTCATTCCTTCCTCTTGACACAGTTCAAGGGTTTCTCAAGGCTGTGCAGGTAATGTAATGTTATAAATATGGTTGCTCAAAAACCGAGATACTTTTTAAAATACTACTAGCTGATAACCCAGTGTTACCTGGGTATTTATAGACGTAAAAGCATTTGTCTGACAGGGAGCCATTGAGAGGGGCCTTTCTTCCCCCTACTCCCATGCCCATCATCCCTGCCCTCTCCCTTCCCCCTCCCATGTGCTCCTCTTTCCCGCTCTGTCTACGATCCTGGCACTTTGCCCCAAAGCGTTTGTCTGACAGGGAGCCATTGAGAGGGGCCTTTCTTCCCCCTACTCCCATGCCCATCATCCCTGCCCTCTCCCTTCCCCCTCCCATGTGCTCCTCTCTTCCGCCCTGTCTACGATCTTGGCACTTTGCCCCAAAGCGTTTGTCTGACAGGGAGCCATTGAGAGGGGCCTTTCTTCCCCCTACTCCCAGGCCCATCATCCCTGCCCTCTACCTTCCCCCTCCCATGTGCTCCTCTGTCCCGCCCTGTCTATGATCCTGGCACTTTGCCCCAAATCCATCAGGCACTTCCTTATTGATCCACTGGAAGGTGAACGTCACGGCTGGCTTTCTAGAGGAAGCTGGGAAGGAACTGACATCACAAATAATTGCCACTGTAGGACACCACACTTGCTCTCCTTTAACGGCCCAGACTCTCCCTTCCATGG